TTGGGACAACTTTTAGGTCTGACCTATACTGTCTCTCAAATTCCCCACAGGATTGAACCAAAGTTACTCTTGCCTGAATTCCCCACAGGGCTTTGCTTGATGTCTTACCTTTCCCTTGCTTCCTTATCTTCCTTTTCTCATTTCCTCACTACCCTATGGTTTTCCTTTGGGAATACCCGTAATCACTTTCATGGTGATCTTTGTTTCAGAGTCTGCTTCTGAAGCTTGACACAATTCCAACAGCTTCAGTACATCATTTAAACAGAAAATTAGAAGGAGATAGGGATGCTTCTAGAGGCAGCCTTACTTAGAACAGTGAGAAGGGATAGCTGATAGCCGTGATAACAAGGGAGGAAACAGAAGCATGATAAAAAGCAAACATAAATAATGGAAAAACCACAGGAATCTTGGGCTTAACTGCGCTTCACTTCTCAGTAGTCCCTGAGGTCATTACCATGTTCAATGTAATAATCACTGTTCACAGTGATGACTCTGAATTACCAAAGAACATTAAATTCTACCCAGAAAAAAAGGCGTATACATATATAATGCATTTTAGAAAGACAGCAAAGTAAATATGAGATATTGAATATACATTTGACAGTTTCCTTACAACACTCTACTAAAATGACAGTAAAAAGCAAGGAGGGACCCTGTAATTCCACGAAGGCAAAAACAGTGATAATAATGAAAATTTGAAAAGTAGAAAGCTAAGTGCCTATTTTGAGATTGGAAGTTGGGACTAGTAGTGCCCAAGAGGTGAATGTATTTGTACTACAGAGCTCCAGAAAAACACTCAGAACAGGAGGCACCAGGCAGGTACAGATAGGAGCTAAATATGGGAGAATTGGTTGAAAATCAATTTGAGAAGCTTTTAGACCTTTTCTACTCCAACAGAAGACGGGTGGTATATTCTCCAGAGTAGTCAAATGTGAAGGATTCTGGACTTGGGGGCACCATGCCCAGATGTGAACAAAGGTACATGCTTTCAAAGAGATTAACTGTAAATCTACGTACTGATCACTGAGACTTCCAGCTCCCTTCCTTAAGTAGCCAGACTTATCTCCCATCCCCATTCCCACCCAGCACCAATCCTCCAAGCAGGAGAACAGATTCCTCTCCTTCGAAAACCTGCACAAGAGAAAAGGACCATAGATACTGTGGTAGGGGAAATGTCCCTATCCCGTCTACCAGACCTCTGCTTGATCACTCGACAGTGAAATCTACAACTTGACAAGCTCAGTCCATACACACGGAGTATTTTTTTTCATACTTTACTGTCAAAAATGGTCAGTCAAGAATCACCCCGCATTTGAGGAAAACAGACCAATGCAAACAGAAAAAGCAAACTGAGAAGCACAAAATAGGGAGCAGAACACTTAAAAAAAAATTCGTATTCTCACAGATAAGAAATATTGCATTCTATGAGGTGGTAAAAGTAGGCAATAAAATAGGAAAATTCAGGGAAAAAAGCATTTGGAAAATTAAAAATGAGTAGAAATTTAAAATCTAGCAAGATAATCGCAACATGGATTTGATGAAATTGCCCAACATGTAGAACAGAGAGGAAAAGTAGAGGAGAAAAAGTAACATTGATCCATTTGGCCTAATAGTGAACAAATAGGGATTCTAGAAAGAATACATAGAGAAAACGAAGGGAAAGATATAATCTAAGACGTAATACAAGGAAATTTCTCAGAACCAAAGAACGTGACTTTCCAGATTGAAAGGGCCCACTGAGCACCCAGTACAAGAAATGAAAAATTTCAAAACAGTGGTTGTAGACGGAAGATCTTAAAAGCTTAAGAGACAAAACAAGTAACATACAAAGATTGGAAGTCCAAATAGCATCAGAATTCTTAGCAACAATGGTAGCTAGAAGACAATGGAACAATGTCTTTAACATTCGGAGAGGAAGTAATGTCTAATCCAGAATTGTCTGTGCAGGCAAACTGCCAATTAGATATAAGGCTAAACCCAAGAATATTTTTCAATTTGTAAGTCTCAAAAAATTCACTCTTAGGGCCAGCCTGGTGGCATAGTGGTTAAGTTCGCATGCTCTGCTTTGGCAGCCCAGGGTTTGTGAGTTCGGATCCCTGGTGTGGACGTACACACCACTCATCAAGCCATGCTGTGGCAGCATCCCACATATAAAATAGAGGAAGATTGGTAGAGATGTTAGCTCAGCGACAATCTTCCTTACCAATAAATAAATAAATAAATAAATAATGTACTCTCCAACCCCACCCCTACTAGAATTGCTAAGATGAAAAAAATTGATAATAACAAGGCCTGATGAGGATTTGGAGCAACTGATACTCTCATACGTTGCTGGTAGACATACAAAATGATCCAACTGCTTTGAAAACAGTTTGATAGTTTTGGTTTTTTTTTAAAGATTGGCACCTGAGCTAACAACTGTTGCCAATCTTTTTCTTTTTTTTTTTCTGCTTTTTCTCCCCAAATACCCCCAGGACATAGTTGTATATTTTAGTTGTGGGTCTTCTAGTTGTGGCATGTGGGATGCCCCTCAGCATGGCCTGATGAGCGATGCCATGTCTGCGCCCAGGATCCAAACCAGTGAAACCCTGGGCCGCTGAAGCGGAGCGCGCAAACTTAACCACTTGGCCACGGGGCTGGCCCCAGTTTGACAGCTTCTAAGTTAAACATAGAATTAAAATACGATCCAACAGGGGCTGGCCCCGTGGCCGAGTGGTTAAGTTCGCGCGCTCCACTGCAGGCAGCCCAGTGTTTCGTTGCTTCGAATCCTGGGCGCGGACATGGCACTGCTCATCAAACCACGCTGAGGCAGCGTCCCACATGCCACAACTAGAAGGACCCACAACAAAGAATATACAACTGTGTACTGGGGGGCTTTGGGGAGAAAAAGGAAAAAAATAAAAATCTTTAAAAAAAAAATAAATAAATAAAATAGGATCCAACAGTTTCACCTTAGGTATTTACCCAAGAGAAATGAAAACATATGTCCATGCAAAGAATTGTATGTGGTCTTTATTCATAATCACTCAAAATTGGAAATAGCCCAAAATATCCATTAACCAGTGAATAGATAAAGAAATTGTAGATAAATCGTAGATAAAGAAAATGTAGGAACTTTTTGGAGTGATAAAAATGTTCTACATCTTTAAAGTGGTGGTGGTTACATGACTGAAGATGTTTGTCAAAACTCATTGCACTATACAGCAAAAAAGGGTGAGTTTTTCTGTTTGTAAATTGAACCTCGATAAATCTGACGTTAACAACACGTTTATCCTATAGCCTCTCTTTCTCAGAAAACAACTGGAGGATACACACCATCAAAACTAAGAAGTAAATGGAGAAAGAGGAGAACATGGGATTCAGGAAACAGAGAATCCAATATAAAAAAGAATTCCCAAGATGAGGGTTGTTTTATTCTGACGAATAGCCATGCAGGAGGACTAGAAAATGAAACATTCTAAATTGGAACAACAAGAAGAGCTCTAGGAAAGATTTTACCCAAGGAAAAATTGAAATTGATAGAATAATTTGGAGATGAATTGGTGATAGGGACACAAGAAACAGAGCAAACTAAAAAAAAGTGTTAGCTACAGAGATTTGTAAGAAGTTGTAGAGAAAAGAGATTTAATCATTCTCTACTGACTCAGCTATGAATGATATTTACAAACTTACATTAAGTAAAAGCCAAAAATTATTTTAAAACAAAATTGTGAAATAATATTGAGAACATAGGAGAATGTGTGTGTTTATGTGTGTGCGTGTTTGTGATGTATGACTAAAAGATATGAAGCCAAATAAAACAGAAGAGTGAAAGTGATTGCCTCTGGGGAGCTAGAGTTAGGTTTAGGTTGGGGGTGGGGCAGAAAACTTATTTTCATCATAAACATTGTAAAACTATTTAAAATACATATGTAAAAATATATATACACATATTCATACATATATACATATATTATTGTTTTTTAAATGTTCATTTTAAAAGTTTAAATTTTTAAAGGTCATCTCTTTTATCTGAAAATTTCTGTGTAAAATGACCCTTTCCCAGTAATGCCAGATAAATAAGGCAATAGATTAAAAATACAAAAAAGGATCTTTTTTCTGAGGAAACAGTTAAAAGATGAGTCCCTGAATGCAGATGATTGAGACTCTTCGGTTACTCTGAGTAAGGTTTGGAGTAGACTGTTAATATCTTTCTTTCAGATTTCATGTTTTCTTTTTAAAAATAGCTTTATTTCTTTAGTTATAAAATTAACATGCCATTGTATAAAACTTTTTAGTGGAAATGTACAAAGAATAAAAATAAAACCATCAATAATCCTACCCCCTAGAGATGATCTGTTTGGACTAATTCATTTCCATCTCTGCCCTCCGTTTCCTCCTCCTCCTCCTCCTTCTCTTCCTTCTCGCCCCTCTTCTTCTTCCTCTCTCTGTTTTTTTTAAATTAAGAAATGTGACACGTCTTTTACTAGTGGAAAACCACAGGAGCTGTGGATTTGGTGAGGAAAGAGATCAGTGGAAAAGGTAGAAGAAAGCAGAAGTATAATACAAAAGTGGACAGAGAGAAATCAAGGAGTAAAAGAAGAACGCTATTTACTGCCTCTAAAACAAAACCAAATAGTCTAAAAAAAGAGGAATCAGGTTCAAGCCCTGATTGTCTGGACTTTGAAATGAGCATATCGTGCCAGAAGTGAGCCTTTTCCCTGTTGTCTTTTGTGGGCAGTCCGGTGTCCAGGTCTCCCGTGCTACAGCGAGGGAGTTGTTATTGCTTTACAGAGAACTGTGACTGGGAACCACAGACAGCAAAGAGGTTCTGGTAAATGGAGCACTTTATGAAAAAGGTTTTTTCCCCAGTTTCTCCAAATATCATCTCCTAAAAGAGGTAAAAGTTATAAAAAGCAATTTTAAGGTTGTTATTAGAAGAGAATCTTATTGAAAAGGGTGGAGTCATTACGTACATATACTTCTTGTCAGTTCAAAATGTAATTTTTTTTCTCTTCCAGCGTTCCTAGAATCCCGTGGGCTTTTGCCATGACAGAAGTATGTGGCATGATTCTGTGCTATATTTGGCTCCTGGTTCTTCTTCTTCACAAGCACAGGTATGCCAATTATTTCATTAAAAGACTGAAAGTGTTTTGATTGTCTTGCGTAAAGGTCATCAAACCTTGTTTCTACCTTTGCAGTTTCCTTGTTAAACAAATTTTCTTCTTTAATTGTGACATTGTAGTTATTGACATAGGAAAATGTTTTGAGTTTGATTAACAAAAGAGTCACCCAAAGGTAATACCTACATATTTAGTAATACTCTGAATGTATTTTGTAGGGAGAGATCAAAGAAGGTGATGTTCAACCATGGGCCAATCAATGACAGTCTAGCCTTATCTTTCTTTGGAAACAAATCAGAACTGTCACTTTTTATAGAAGGATAGAAACTTCTCCAAGGACAGTCTTTGGTCAAATGTTTGGATGGAAGAAATTGTTCTCTACTTGAAGGAGGCCCATTGAAAAAGAAATATAAAGGGAAGAATTGTGTTTTAATTTAAAAAAGAAGAGAAACATAAGGGGAGACTCCTTTCGTACTTTAATCAGGGGAATTACTTGATTTAAGTGAAAAATAAGTCATAGCAGAGAAAATATTTAAAGACCTATAGTTTGTGGATCCGCTGTCCGTTGGCCTTGAAGAGAAATAGGGACACTTTCTTGAGTTTTTGATCCTTTCTCCTCACTAGAGAGTGCTTGAGGTAAACCACAGTGTTGGGCTTTAGGTCCTAAGCAGTACTTATTTCCCTGTTTTGAAGGTTAAAAGAAAGGTTGATGATTGTTATTCTTGGTACACTTCTAGGCCATATTGTACTTCATTCTCTCCTGTTTTGCAGCAATATTTTTAAATGGATTGCTTAAAATCAGAGTTGGTTTGAAAAATGCATGCATCACTGCTGCTTTCTGGTTTAACTTTGCCTCACAAGACCCTGTGGATTTGAATTTGTCTACTCTTCAAAACAAGAGTTGACCTTATAGGAAACCTTGGTAGGTTTAGTAAAGCATAGCAGTGGCCAATTAATGCAAGTTTTGATGTTTAATTAGTCAAAGAAAGTGTTTCTCAAGGTATAGTCTTTGTACCACTTTCATTAGAATCACCTGGGCTCTGTAAGATACAGGCGCCTAGGCTCCATCCCAGGTGCACACACTAAAGTTTGAAACATACCTAACCTTGTGGTCAGTGCTTTTTTGGAGGATGGGAGGAGCATTTTGAAAATGTGTAAAGCATAGTCCCTGTACTTAAGAATCTTATGGTCTGTTTTAGTTTAAGACATTTAGAAAAATAATATTATAATACAAGTGATGTCACAAAGCAGTTCAAAAATTTTTGTTAGAGATAAATTTAATGTAAGTTAGAAGTTAGAGTACCTTTACTAGCTACTAACATTAACCAGTTTACATTTTTATTAATGAGCAAAAAATTCTCTAAAATCACGTTTAACTTTACCTCTCGTTAAGTGAATAATTTATGAGCAATATGTGAGTTACAGGACTACCACTTAGCTAAGAGTCAGGCTAGGTACTAGTCTTACTTCACTCTTGCATAACTCTTTTACATTCTCTTAGCTATATTTTCTTATTAATGAAATGATGCTCTTACATCTGCACTGTCCAGCATGGCAGGTACTAGCCACAAGTGGCTATTTAAATTTAAATGAATGAAAATGAAATAAAATTAAAATTCAGTGGGCCAGCCCCAGTGGCATAGTGGTTAAGTTCAGCATGCTCTGCTTCGGTGGCCCAGGTTTGGTTCCCAGATGCAGACCTATACCACTCGTCAGTGGCCATGCTGTGTTGGCAGCTCACAGGAAGATTGGCAACAGATGTTAGCTCAGGGTGAATCTTCCTCACCAAAAAAAATATTAAAATTCAGTTCCTCAGTGATACTAGTTACATTTCAAGTGCTCAGGAGTCACATGTAGATAGTTTATAGGACAGTGCAGCTATAGAACATTTCCATCATTGCAGAAAGTTCTGTTGGACAGTGATACTTTGGATGGTCTCGAAGATTTCTGTCCTTGTCCAAGTCTAGTTGTTTTCTTGCTTGCTCTCCCTTTAAGTAAACATTTGATGCCTGGGGTATTTTGGTTTGTTTTCTTCTGATTTTCTCCTTCTTTGGCTACTCTGTTCACAGGTCAATACTTCTGCGAAGGCTCTGTAGTCTGATGGGCACTGTTTTCTTGCTTCGCTGCTTTACCATGTTTGTGACCTCCCTCTCCGTGCCAGGACAGCACCTGCAGTGTACTGGAAAGGTAGCCTGCTACCTTCTTTATCATTCTTTTCTCTTCTTGGTGGGTTGATGACACCATATATGCACTAGGGCTAAGACTTTGCTTTTAATATTAAAATGTGCTTTTCAGTATTTTCAATATCTGTAAGAAACCTCTAGAAGTAACTTGGTAAAAATCTTAACCCCAAATCTACCTCCCTGTTACTGCTATTCAATGATACTAGTTCTGCAGTGTGGAGCTGTAGAAAAAAAGTTTCTTTCAATTATTGTTTTCTCTTTCCCACCATCCTCAGCATCTTTAGTTCCTCGTAGGACATGACTCTGGTCTCTTCACTATCCTCATCACCCTTTTTTTAAAAAGTGTTGCAGTTTGACCATATCCCATTTAAAATACAATATGCACTACTCTAAACTTTACGGAGTATATCTGGGATTAATTAATGGCTGATTTTTTTGTTTTTGTTTTATACTTTGTAGCTTGTTTTGGGATACTGTAGACTTCTCATATGGTTAAATTGAGAGAGGAGAGCTTATGCAGATGGGAATGAGAAAACAGGGTAATGAATTACTTTAAAAAATTTTTAAAAAACCAACAACTGAAAATCGCCTGTGCTTTATATACAAAATTGACTGTTGTGACTTGTTAAATTTAGACAAAAGAATTTATTATTCTACTTTTCCGAGCCTCCATGCTTTAGTTATGTTTCTAAATATTCAAATGTTATATATTAACACCTTTGTTATCATTTGAATGTTGTTGGTAAAGTGTCAATTTAAGGGTCAGTTCTTCTACTGCAATATAAATAGCTGAAATGCTGACAAGGGAAGATTAGGCAGCCAAAGGAGATCAAGAACTAAAAATAAAGCCCAGAGCTGAAAGATGACAAAACTTTCTCCTAGTATCAGGAGACTGACCAGTAAGAAAGAGGGAAGGATTAATATGACATATAGGATTTACTGTAAAGGAAATATTTTATTTTTAAGGTAAAAGCTGTTTTGTTTCTCTTTTTAATGGGAAGGTAATTTTTTCTAATTATAAAGTTTTATGTTTATTGTAAAAATTCAAATTGAATAGAAATATATAAATTAAAAAGTAAAAGCTCACATAATCCCCTCTTCTTTCACCTCATCCCATAAATAATACTAACAGTTGTGTATATAGCTACATAGACTATTTTTAAGCATGCTTATACATTCATATAAGTTTATATAGATACTTTTTTTATTTTTTGAGGAAGATTAGCCCTGAGCTAACTGCTGCCAATCCTCCTCTTTTTGCTGAGGAAGCCTGGCCTTGAGCTAACATCCGTGCCCATCTTCCTCTACTTTATACATGGGACGCCTACCACAGCATGGGTTGCCAAGCGGTGCCATGTCCACACCCGGGATCCAACTGGCGAACCCCCAGCCGCCGAGAAGCGGAACGTGCGAACTTAACCGCTGCACCACTGGGCCGGCCCTATATAGATAGTTTTTAAACAAAAGATAGGATTATATTGCAGACATTGTTCTTTAGCTTGTTTTATTTAATAGTATGTTTACTTTTTTCTAAAGAAATACATATAACTCAACCTCATCTTTTTAATAGCTACAGAGTGTTCCATTGTATGATTTACCAGTTTCCAAAGGATATACATTTAGGTTGTTTCCAAATCTTACTATTTATAAACAATGCTATTGTAAACATCCTTATACATTTATGCTTTTTCACTTATTTAATCATCTTGTTAAGAGAAATTCCTGGAAATGGGATTGTGAAGTCAGAGAACACGTGCGTTAAAAATTGTGATAGGTAGGGGCCGGCCCCGTGGCCGAGTGGTTAAGTTCGCATGCTCTGCTCTGGCGGCCCAGGGTTTCGCTGGTTGGGATCCTGGGCGTGGACATGGCACTGCTCATCAGGCCATGCTAAGGTGGCATCCCACATGCGACAACTAGAAGGACTCACAACTAAAATATATAACCATGTACTGGGGGGCTTTGGAGAAATGAAGGAAAAATTTAAAAATCTAAAAAAAAAAAATTTTTTTTAAAAAGGAAAAGAAATTGTGATACATATTGCTCAGATGTCCACTAGAAAAGAGTAGTTTTTCACCACTACCAACAATGTATGCATGTCAGTTTTCCCACCCCCATGCCAGCACTGCTTATCACTGCCACTCTGATTAATGAAAGATGATATCTGAGACTTTATGGTCTTGTATATTTAAATCTTTATTGAATTTTTTTTATACATGGTATGAAGAGGGATAGAACAGTTTCCCCCAAATAGAATGCTTATTGATTAGAAGAGATTTAAAAGAAGAAAAATGTAAGCTTATTACACTGAAAGGAGAATTTCCTGTAGCTGAGGGAGTTAGTTGTGGTTCAGCCCCTAAAGTGAAGGATATATGTGCATAGGGCTGCAACATATGCAACAAAAATAAATTAGATACCATCCCTCTGCAATATCGACAGCCCTTTTTCTGTCTCTAATGAGTGTTTTTCATTATCAGTTACTTATATATGGACATTTCTATTCAAATCTGCCCTAAATACTGTTAATTGTTTTGAATTATAATGTAACCTACTTATTGACCTGTATTATTTGCAGCAGTCTTTAAAAATAGCAAGTTAAGGTGATAGTAACTAGCAATCAAATCCCTTACAGTAAACTCCATAGGGTATTTTCATTGTAATAAATTAATTGCTTGAAATATCATTCCCAAAAGTATGAGGTTTGGGGACAGAACCGAGAACATACCTGTTTCCGAAATTTAGCAATAGACCTATCATAATGAAAGAAACACTGAAAGCAAATTTCGACACCTTGTCTCATCAAAGCATCTTATTCAATCTGTTGGGTTTAAATTTTAATTTTTCTGGAAGAATATTTGGGGCATTTTAAGATTGGAAAGGATAGGGAGACTTGAGTAATTGAGTAATAATTGCTTTCTTTTGATTGGCATCACTTGTTTTCTGTCCTTGGCTGAGACATTTTCCTAGCAGTCTCTGTTCTTCATTGCCTGATTTTTTACTTTGATGAGAGTAATATCTCTAACCCTATTCTCATTGGAGGTCATGGAAGAACCAAACCGTGTGTATTTTAGTACATTCTCTTTCCTTTTCTCTAATAATAAATTCGTCTTCCTCTCCTGCTCTCAACTGAGACAGAAAGGGAAAACTGAGTAGTGTATAATCACCAGGTGAGATTGCTAATGAAATTGTGATATCTAATGAGGTGGTTTCTTTTGTTCATTAGTCATAGTATAATCTTTAAGACTTAGGGCTTTAGAATTGGACTTCTGGGTTCACATCCTGGTAATGTTACTTACTAGCTGTGTGACCTCTCTAAGCTAGTTTCCTCATCTGTACAATTGAATCACTTCATAGGATTGTTGTAGAAATTAAATACAATAACACATAAAGCACTTAGCAGAATGCCTTGCACATAGTAAATGCACATAAAATTTTAGCAATTTTTTTGTTTCCTTTGTGTGTGACTGTTGTTCAAACTCTTCCTCAAAGTGGATTGCTTTTTTAAGCTCATTTGTGGGAGTTAGGATTAGATTTGGCTGCTAATAGCAGGAAATTTAAGATGGCTATGGTGTAATAAACAAACAAACAATGGTTTATTCTCGCTTATAAGTCTGAAAGTAAGTACTCCAGGTCGGGTGTGGTAACTTTATGGAGTCATCAAAAACCCATGATTCTTCTGTCTTTCTGCTCTCCTGTCCTAACACTTGGCTTGCATCTTCAAGGCCATTTTGTGGTCCAGGATGGTTGCTGGAGTTTCAACTATCATGTCTAAGTTGTAGGCTAGAAGAAGGAAAGGTAGAAAAGACTTCCTCTGAGCTGTTGTCTCTTTCCTTTATAAATAGCCTTCCCAGAAATGTTTTACATTTCCACATATATCTTATTTTATAGAACTTAGTCACAGAGCCACACCTAGCTGCAAGGGAGGCTAAGAAATGCAATGTTTTGGTTGAGTTCATTGCTGCTTCAAATAAATATGAGATTCTGTTACCAGTGAAGAAGGGCAGAATGGATATTGAATAATAGCCATCGTCTCTGTCATAGTCTCTCTCTTTTTTTTTTTTTTTTTTAAGATTTTATTTTTTCCCTTTTTCTCCCCAAAGCCCCCCGGTACATAGTTGTATATTCTTCGTTGTGGGTCCTTCTAGTTGTGGCATGTGGGATGCCGCCTCAGCGTGGCTCGACGAGCAGTGCCATGTCGGCGCCCAGGATTCGAACCAACGAAACACCGGGCTGCCTGCAGCAGAGCGCGCGAACTTATCCACTCAGCCACGAGGCCAGCCCCTATCATAGTCTATTTCTTACTGGCAAGAACAGCCAAGCAAATACTACTGTATTATTGGAGTAAAAACTTGAACATATTTTTGTGTTAGAGTGACTTTTTCATTGTAAAGAAACTCCTAGTAGAGAAGTTTGAATTACATTGATTTCATGTAGTTACCAAAATATTTCTTCTGAGTACTGCCAAGCTTTGGCCACCCATTCTTTTTTTTTTTCCTAAGGAATATTTGCCCTGAGCTAACATCTGTTGCCAATCTTCCTCTTTTTTTGTCTGTGAGCTGCCACCACAGCATGGCCAATGACAAGTGGTGTAGGTCCATGCCTGGGAAATAAACCCGGGCCTCCAAAGCGGAGTGTGCTGAACTTAACCACAAGGCCACCGAGGCTGGCCCTGACCACCCATTCTTGATGTTTGAAATTCATTAGACTGGAAGTCTGGTTGCTTTTGCTTAGATATTATTTCTAAGTCATTCAGCATTTGAATTTCAGTGAGAGTGGATGTTTGGAAGCCCCTACCTCCCTAAGCATTTGAAGCACTAATTCATAGCTTTCTTTTTAGATATATGGCAGCGTATGGGAGAAACTACACCGGGCTTTTGCCATTTGGAGTGGCTTTGGTATGACCCTAACTGGTGTTCACACCTGTGGAGATTATATGTTCAGTGGCCACACAGTCGTCCTAACTATGCTGAATTTCTTTGTCACTGAATGTAAGTATCTCTTTCATTCTTCTATGCATGTTAGATGACTAGCTGCAGAAGAGGCTGTGGGAAGGGTGTCAAGTTCTTTGAAGAATGGGAGAAACAGACTGAACTAAGAAACATGTGACTTAGAAGCATTGGAAGGAATGTGGTTTTAAAATGATCTTTCTGTCCTTTTCCCAGATACACCAAGAAGCTGGAATTTCTTGCACACTTTATCCTGGGTTCTCAACCTCTTTGGAATCTTCTTCATTTTGGCTGCCCACGAACATTATTCCATTGATGTATTTATTGCCTTTTATATCACAACAAGACTCTTTTTGTACTACCATACTCTAGCCAATACCAGAGCTTATCAGCAGAGTAGGAGAGCGAGAATTTGGTTTCCCATGTTTTCTTTTTTTGAGTGCAATGTTAATGGTACAGTACCTAATGAATATTGTTGGCCATTTTCAAAACCAGCAATAATGAAAAGACTAATTGGATGAAACTATCTTTGTAATGGGTTCATGATTAAATATACAGTAGATGTTGAAAGTGAATAACTTTGCTTTCTCCCCCTAGGTTGTTCTGAATGCCTTACTTTTTGGCTTATGTGTTGACAAAGTAAACTTCTGAGCAAGGCTGTGATTATAGAAAGCAAGATAAAACAATCAAGAGTCCTTACATAATCTGTTTGAACAGAAAGCTTAAGTAAATGTTTTCTGCCCCTTCTCTTTAGGCAGACAATGTTGTGATTGAAATTAGGCTGTTACCCTTACCTGTTGAGTATTTGCTTATTGAACTTAACTAAATCAACTTAAGCAATTTGTTGATTGAAAGATTTTTTTTTTTTGATTTCTAGTAGGACTCTAGTCTTTTTGAAGTTCCTTGTTATCTTCAAAGGAAAACCCTACCAAGTGAGCAGTACTTATTCTTTGAACTAATCTCTGTGTCTTCTTTAAAAATGTAAGTCTGAAAAGTGATCCATTTTACTAACAAATAATTTTTGCCTTCTGAACCATCTTTAAGAAAAGTTTACTGAACATACTAGAATGCCTGAAACAAGAAGAAAATGAAAGGGGCCATACACGAGGTGACAAAGTACAAATATATATAGTGCTGGCATTTTTCACCAAAGATGCAACAAAAGATGCAGTTTCTGTTTTGTTCTGAGGTTCAGTATTACCATCAGTAAGTATTCATGAGGGAAAAATGGCTGCATCTATAAAAATAAAATAGGCTTAATTTTAGTGATGTAGATTCCTGGAATAACTTGTGCTATAGATGTTAGTTAGACAGATGACAGCCCAATTTTATGCTTTTCAGTGATGTTATTTAATAAGCAAAATAGTGGAGTGTTTTATCAGATGTTAGATAAAATTCTTATGTGTTTAAGTCGGGAGGTATGCATGCAAAGAATATCTTTTCTCTTTCTGAAAAGAAATTTATAACAGCTTGCAGGCATAATATAACTTTTTGGTTTTTGAAATTTCTCATTCTTGGCCATGCAAAGTAAGCAGTTGCAGACATATTTGGATATGAAAAGGTTTTGTTTTTTATTTTTAAATACAACGTGTACATACATTCTTTTTAGTCTTAATTTGGCAGTCAGGAAGTGATATAACTTAGTTGCTGTTTACAACACTAGAAATTTGATACCTTAAGTAATTTGACCTCTTTGGTAACATTTGTCACTTTTAATGATTTTCTATAGTAGTTATGACAATAGGATGGTTATGGAATTGAAATTTGAACCCCAGTGGATGAGCTTTGCTACTTGGAATATTAATCGTAGTTTTTACATTCCATTTTAAAACAAGGAGTTAGAAAAGGTACTGGCATTTGAGGTTTAAAATTAAGCCACTTAGCAGAAGCTTGCTCCTTAGATGGGTGAAATATTCTATTTTTGCACCTTGAGTCACATCACCACCCCTGTATAAGTTAGAGATGAACCTGAATGGATTGGGCAGGAAAGGAATATTATACAAACGAGTTTCAGCCAGTGCTGAGTGACCTCAATATGAGTCTACTCTGAACATTATTTTTTATTTCTCACTTGAAAAATGGCACAAGGCAAGTCAAGTTTTATTATGCTTTTAAATCTCATTCTTCAGAATCTTATAGTATCTTAAATTGTTGATTCTGTTACATGCTAGGGACAAAATGCCAACATTTCATCTAAGGAAGTTGCATAATCATGAAGGGTGAAGGATGTTTCCTATGCCAGTTAGAGTAGTTTGGCCCTTGAGGTTAAAAGATGTGTTCTTGCCACTTTTCAAACCAAATGACAGAATGGGACTGAATTTACCTAGAAGGGACTGATGCTGGCTTTTGGGAAAATGTTTGACAAAAATCTATGGCAACATTAATTCAAGAATGTTAAATAGCGACTTAATGGCAAATTTCCTAACGTCAGTCTTCTTTCCTTCATATGGATTCTATTCTAGAACAAAATAGAAAAAAAAAATTGCAGCTAACTTTGCAGAGCTATTGACATTAAGAGTGCCTAACAGCAGACTGCAATGAGGATTGTAAAATAACTTTTCAGCCTTGCGTTATCATATCTGTTTTGAGGAAAAGGTAAGCTAGATTTATAATTTATTGTTACACCTATTACAAGGTAGTGTTTATATAAATTGATCATCTCCAAGTCCCTTTTTGGAAAACTTTGAGACAAAATTCTTTTCTGTGTTTTTTTAAAATATGAAACCTATATTTTAGTCACTTTTTGTTTTGTCCAGAAATTTCCAGATTTGTCTTTGTATTTTTTCCTTGTTAAAATCTAAACCATAGTGAAGATAGTATTTACATTTACATTTTGGGTGTGAATGTGGCTAGGTAGAGAAGCTACATGCCTTCTATCTACATATTTTTTGACCGTGTATTAGGTTTTACAGTTGCAGACTGGTGAGAGGCTTACATCGTTAAACATTAAGAGCTCAGAAGGAACTAAGAAGGTTTTTGGTTTGGGGATGCAAACTGGAAGTTATATTGAAAGTTCTCGATGCATTTTCTCTGCTCCTGGGGGCAACATTGCCTTTTTTTTTTTAAGACCATGCAAGGCAGTGTTACTAAAGGGTAATTGGAGTTCATAGGGAGTGGGAGGTTTTGAAGAAGGCGAGTTTGCTATTATCACCAAGTAATTTGGGATAATTTTTGGCCATGCTGCAGATGTCTCAACATGGCTGTGATCTCCATAGTTCTCTGTGGTATTTTTACGCTAGCAATTCATTCTGAACTACTGGTTTGTCTGAAGGTAGCCAAGCAATGTGGTCATATCTTCCATATGCTGAGTCTGTTTATTAGTATCCTTTTAAATCAGTAAGCAATGAGCTTAGCCTTAGAACCAGTCAGTTAAACAAGTGTAGACTGTTCACAAGAAAAAACCCAGTGACTGAGAGACCTGCTGGTAGTGTAACTGTGACACTACAAGTGACATTCTTCTCTGTCCTGTACCTGCTGTTACTTAGAATTCCAAAAATCTTATCATTTGTAAGTGGAGAACAGAGGAGCCAAATCCTTTTATAGCTGATACGAAACAGTCTGTTTTAAGTACATCTGTTTAGAAAGTGTTATTTATATATTCAAAGTCATATAACACTAACCTGCTTTGACTGCATTCAGCAAAAGGCAGTTTCATCATTAGTTTCATAGTAAACTTTTTTGAAGGATTCTAGTTCCAAAATGCCTGAAAACATTAACCATATTCTTGTTTTAAACTCTAGGATCTAATAAATTTAATTCTTTGATAGTCTTTTTGTAGATTTAAGTTACCCCTTACTAAAAGTAATTATAGTAATAGTCATTTGTCAGTTCTTTAAGGTATTGAGGCATTTGAGACAAGAAAGCTCTCTTAGAATAGTCCAATAGCTTTCTTCAATGGTATTGGTTTCATTTAGATAGTTTCAAAGCCAGCAAAGCATGTTAGTTTTAAGGCCAACATTATTTGGCAGTTAAAATAGTTTGCATTTGTAAAAAGTTTAGCCTGATTACCCTTGCTATCTCTGTAGAGAATTGTTAGTATCATCAAAAACAGATTGCTTCAGGTGACCCTTGAGAAAGGAAAGAGGTTGAAGGTTTTTTTCCCTCTCTGTCTTTGAGTGGCTTTGAATGACTGAAATTATCATGGAAGTAGGTTTTGGTCCCCCTCTTATCTACCTCTCACCCCCAGCAAATGCCAACAATATCAGGTAACTAAAATGTGGCTTACTGCTTTGCATCAAGGTCACTAAAAATATCTATGAAATCTGTAAGTCATAATTCAGCTACCAATAAAGTTGGTTTTTAGAATATGTTCTACCCTAAATTAACCAAAAGACTTTTTATTCAGTGTACTCTATGTTTAAATATAAGGAAGCTTTGTGCCTAATATGGAGGGAGAAGGAATGTTGTGTTAATTTCATTGTTATTTCAGGTCTGTTTCAATCTGAACTACTGGGTTGTCTGAAGATAGCCAAGCAATGTTATCAGTTAGTAATGTCATCTTAAAAATGCTTAATTTTAGTAACTATTTGTTCAGAGATTGTTAGATTGTTAGGACAATTGAAGTATTTCTGATACAGAACAAAGAAAGTAGAAACTGGTACTTACTGGGGAAAGCAAAATTGGCATGGACTAAAATGGGCATGTTTTGTTTAAGAATTCTACCTAAATGTCACCTTATCTACACAAAACTAGTATTACTTGAAGATGTGAAAGTTCCTGTGGTAGTGATACCTTGAAGCACAGTATTGTATATAAGTAAATATCTTGATTCTAAATTATATCCAGATTTAACTAATATATATTATTTTATATCTTTGTTGTATTAAAATGTTTAAAAACACTAAAAATAAAACATTTGAAAGCTGGTTTGCAGTCTCTTATTTAAATGTCTTTGCATTATTAATGCAGCTGGTCTATTTTTTATACAGTGAATTTTTATTTTTGCAAATGATTGGGCCCTGCAACTTTAAATCCTAATAAAGTATCTAGTCCCTGGCGTTTACGAATTCTTAGTTGTCTATTAGATAAACCATTTGCCCTTTCCTCTTTCCTTTCTGTAAACTAGGAAAGAAAAGTCATCTTCCTGAGGTTAGTAGAATAATTGTGGACTAAGTTGAGAGGAAGGGAAGAGAAGCAAATAGCTACTTATTCCTGGACACATTTAAGTTTTTTGTTTGTTTTGGTTTATTTTAATTGTAGTTTATATGGGAAGATGACATCATCCTGTCAGGTCAGCTTTGGAGATAATGATGAACAAGAAAACAGTTGTTAGGAGGTAGCCCAGTAGCCCAGAACCATGGAGTAGTTGGTACACTAAGCGTTGTCACGGGACCATATGAGCTTACCCCACAACTGAACTAGTCTTCATGATCACTACTAATTATAGTTTCTCTGTTGCTGGCCCCAGCTGGTCTCTCTCAGGAACTCTGGGGAAAGACTAGTCCAGAACAGACTTAGAGGCTGCTTGGTGGAATAGAAAATGCACTGGATTTAGACTCTGAGGACCTAGGTATGAGTTGCATCTCTGCTGCTGATTAAATTGGGTCTTTTCTTCCAACTCCACTTAACTTTATGTGGAAAATGGGGGTGCATGTGGGGAGGCAGAATGCCTACTTCATAGGTTGTATTAAGGGCCAGATTATAAAATTACTGTAGCCTTGTTGGCTCAGTATCTGGTAATAATGCTGAAATATTAGTTGAATTTAGGTCAATAAAACAGGGCCTATTTCCCCAGGGAATTAATAATCTAGCTGGGAAGATAACTTAAAAAGGTAGATAACATTCATTGGTGGAATAGACCAGTAGTTTTAAAACTGCCTGGCTGAATATCTTCAGACGTAAGGGAAGAGAGTTGGGGCTTGTATCATTTTCATCTAGAGTTGGTGTTTTACGTATTTGGCTTCCAAGTAGGCTTTCCCTTTGAAAAAAGGGTTGAGGATAGGGGAAGGAAATGTTTGGAAATCAGTGAGGCAATAGGCAAATTTTATGTCTTCGTTTAATGGTAGCTTGGGAGAGGAAGGGCCAACTGGAGACTGAGGGTCCAAACATTCACTAAAGCATGTGAAACCTGAACTGAGCCTTCCCTGGAGGATAATTCGTAAGGACATGATGAAAGGCTTGGAGGGCTCTAACTGCCATGCAAAAAATTGGGTTTATTTGTATAGGTATTAGGGAACTGTTGACAGGCTATGTGTTTGATTTTATTATAAATGGAAGCATTGGGAATGTCTCTTGGCAGGGTCTAAATTGTTGGGACAGGTTTAAGTAGTGCTGTAAAACAGGAGTTAGTAAAGGGCAGAAGTGTAAGTCGAAAAGAGAGAGGTGAGATGGTGGGAAGTACACAAAAGATCAAACTGGAGATGAAGGGAAGGGTAGAGACGCCAAGATAGTATGCTAGTCAAGGACCCAGGACTGGGCACAGCTTGACGAAGGCCTTTGCCCCCTGCGAAGGAAGATCAAGACACCAAACAAATGAGCTGCCAACTTCTACTAGCTGGTGTAATATGAATATAGGATATAATATACTCTGTATCCAAAATTGTCCTTCTTGTGGTCGTGCACCTAACCCACCTGTTAGTGCTGGGCTGCCAGCCATCAAGTGGAGTGGGAGCCGGCTTTGGTGGAGACTTGAAGAGTGCTTGGCTAAGAGAATACCTCAGAGGAGTTCAGTTATCACCCTCAGCTACAGCTTTGAAGAATACCAGATGATAGCTGTAAGGCCTCTGCTAGACTAGCGTGATATTTAAGTGCTATATGTTCTCAGCTCACAGGGCTCCCCAAGAGAGCCAGAAATACAAAACCACCATGTCCTGTTCATATTCCAGCCTTAAGAGCCCTGGATCCCACCCTAAAGAGAATATCTGTACCTAATGGTTTTTTGATACAGATTAATCAGCAGCCTTCATCAATAAGACATCAAAGCATGTGAAATATGATCCTGTTTTTCCACAAAGACTGATTTTGGAGGCTTAGCGGGAGCATATTGGCAGTAGTTATGCAATCTGAGGGACTTCAACATGGTTGAAATCTCACATGCGGAAATTTGGTAAGGCAAGATTCTGAATTTTCTTCACTACCGATTCCACAGTGGTGCCTTTGATTCTTCCTTTCTTTTACTATCTTGATTCGTACTCTCTTTTAAAAAAATTATTAATTTTAAGTAAGTAATTAGTGAACATGGTAACAAACTATGTATATTGAAAACTCTTCCTCGCACCCCTGTGCCTCAGCCTTTAGTTCTCCTTCCAAGAGGCAACCATTTTTAACTTGTGTTTTTCCAGGGGTATACTATGCGTATACAAACAAATATTTTCAAAATTTATTTTTACATTATTTTACACAAATTGTAGCATATACTTGTATATGCACATATATACATGGTTTTGCAATTGCTTATTTCACTCAACATGTGCCAATGCCTTCCCCTCCAAGGACATACCTTAATTGAAGAAGTTGTGCTTATTGCTCCTTGTAATGAGGGAGAACACACACCATGGGGAATTACAGGGCATCTCAGCTGGAGGGTGTTGGAAAGGACTTATTATAGGATCTGGGTTTAGATTAGGTGGTTTTGGGGGAAAATGTTAAGGAAGCATGGATTTGCTCTGGAGTGGATGCTTTCAGGATGCTGGGGCAATTCTATGATTAGGTATCTTAATAAATCTTGACAATAGGCAAGAGGAATGAATTAAGACTAACGTTACAGGGGCTGGCCCGGTGGCGCAGTGGTTAGGTTCGCACGTTCCGCTTCTTGGCGGCCTGGAGTTCGCCGGTTCAGATCCTGGGTGCAGACATGGCACCGCTTGGCAAAAGCCATGCTGTGGTAGGCGTCCCATGTATAGAGTGGAGGAGGATGGGCACAGATGTTAGCTCAGGGCCAGTCTTCCTCAGCAAAAAGAGGAGGATTGACAGCAGATGTTAGCTCAGGGCTAATCTTCCTCAAAAAAAAAAAAAAAAAAAAGACTAATGTTACAATTTTACCAAACAGAAATAGCAGTCAATCATATTAGCCAGGATAGAGGGATATTTGATTGTTTTTGTGGTTTCAATAATGTTGTTATTTTTATCTGTTCAGACATGATTACTGAGTAGTCTTGGTTTTGTCTTGCTCTTTCATGGTCACAGATCTCCTTGTGTGATGTTGGTGTTCTGTGAAATTTTTTATGTTCAACAGGAAAACAATAAGGCCTAGCTGTGAGTGCCAGTCCAGCTTCTCGCGACACCAAATCCTAGTTAATGGTATCAGGCCAGCTCCCTGATGTCAAGAGCTGCTTTTTTTTTTCTCATATAATATATTAGTGTTCTCTCCATATATGTACATAAAATATGAGATTTGCCTCATTCTTGTTAATAGCAGCATGACATTTCATTGTACAGATGTCGTAATTTATTACTCGTTCCCTAAAAGATTGTTTACTATTCAAACAGTGCTACAATAAATAACATATGGTACTTTGCATATGTGCAAGTTTATCTGTAGAATAAATTACTAAAAGTGAAGTTGTTGGGTCAAAGGCTTTGTGCATTTTAAATACTATCATACTGACCTCAGTAGAAGGAGTCACAATTTATTCTTCCACTAGCAACATACGAGTTTGCCTGTTAATCCACACCATCGCCAAAATAATGTGTGAACTTTCTTATTTTTGCCAAGCTAATAGGTTTAAAAATGGTATCTTAATTCCCTTTCTACATAAGTAAGCTGCAGAAGTATTTAAAAATTGTAATATAGTAAGGGAATGGTGGAATGGTGACAGCTTTATTGATGTGCATATCTTTCTGGAAGACTAAATGAATTGTGGACAGTGTCGTATGTTCTGTTAAAAATCCATATAAGATGTTGAACGGGCAAAGGAAGATGATTTAACAGATTAAGGAGTGTTTCTCCCATTTTGTTTGTAGCATAGTCTTTAACTTGGCCATCTCTTGTTATTGGAGAGTAGCATTTTTTTCTGATAATTGTCTTCCCTAAGCACCTGAAGGAAGCTAAGTCCTGTCTAGCCTAAGGGAGAGTCTGGAAGACTCAGTTGCTCTCTGTTGTAAAGTTCTATAAAGGGTAAATGTTAACCTTGTCTGCCCACCAGCAGCTACTATGGGCTCTGCCATCACCTATAAAATGTTTCAAGGACCTGAATTTACCTGTCCCAGATATAGACCTCCATTGTAGATGTGTAAGACCTAAGGTGTGGAAAATGTTTTGAAAGAATATTTATTGAACATTTATTGAGCACCTACTATATGCCAGGCACTATTTAAGCACTGGTGCTTCAGTGGTAAATACAACAAAGTTCCTGCCCTCAAGAAGCTTACTTTCTAGACAATAAGCATATATATGAGAAAGAAAAAAAAGCATCTCTTACAGCTATCAGCTAGTAACTGGCCTAGTTACAGTGGTGTTCCCCTACTGAACATAAGCAATGTTATAGAATACCAACATCAAATGATTACTCTGCATGACTGTGATGGACCATCTTCACTCATAACCAGGCCTAAACAGACACTGTACAACACAAAAATAACTATACACTCCTCCTCCTGAATAATATGAGTAAGATACTGAATTGCCCCAGCTTTCTGAAAACATCCAATCCAGAATAGCACCCCACTTCCTTGTTTTCTTGAAACCTCTGTAAGATCACCTAACACAGGCCCAAATCCTGTACAAGCCTCCTGCAACATCTTCCTGCTGAGATTCCCCACTCCTCTCCATGGTGTTTAGTCTCTCTTGCTGCAGGAAGTTTAATTTTAAAAACTAACTTTGATGTGTGCTCCTGGTGATCTTTGGCTGGTGGGAATTGACTCTTTAGGTAGCCAAAAGTGCTATCTCTGTCTCTCTCTCTCTCTCACACACACACACACACACACAC